TGCTCCACCCACAGTGATGCTCCACCCCCAGAGGTGCTCCACCCACAGTGATGCTCCACCCATAGAGGTGCTCCACCCCCAGAGGTGCTCCACCCACAGCAATGCTCCACCCATGCATCCCCCAAGACAGAGGGGCGGGGACCCCAATGGCTGCGGCAGCAGACGTGGGGCAACCAGGGGGCTAGGGTTGGACAGAGGCTTCCAAGGAGAACAGAGGAAGCTCCATGCACCTGCTGTGCAAGTCTTGGGTTTTGATTTTATGTTTCTTGCTAAAGCCCCTCCACCCCACCCAGTGAGTCCATGGCGCGTGTTTTAATTTCAAATATCACAGCATTGCACAGAGCCTTTGGGAACCAGGACAAAGAATTAGAACTATCTGACCGAAGATTTTTATGGAGCTTATTATAAAGTAACCACACCTCTATTCAAATGCCAGTTCTTTCTCTCTCTGTACACACACACAGAGATAGATAGGTATATGTAGATATCAACGCTGATAATTTCAGCAGGATAAAACCCCTTTCACCACGCAGTACATTTGGAATCTGCTGTCCTGGTCTCCTATCGCCTCTATGCTTAGCAACAACAAAAATAACAAAGTCAGTTTCTGTGAATTGCCAGAAAATATGTAAATATGTGCAATTCAAAGGGGCTTCCTAGGAAGGGGAGCGCCTTCTTAGGAACGACTCGGGTGAGGGGTTTGCCATTTCTGGCTCTGGGCCACCCCAGCCGATGTGTGTCAGCTAAAAGGCGAATGTCCTGACACTGACAGCAAAATGAAGAAGCGGTTTATTGCTAGTGCTCAAACCTGGACTCACTCACATTATACATTTAAAAATGAAAAAGAAAATACTTAGAAGCCTGCGTTCTACATGAGGGCTTCAGGGGACCCCAAAACACTTGCGGTTCTGGCCCCAGCCTGGGTTGGGGTAGAGGGTCCCGGCAGTAGGGGGAGCAGAGGGGACCCCTGAGGGCCCACTGCTTCATCTGGGGGAGGAAAGGGGAGACGACTAAGAGCCCGCCATGACTGACACACCTTGTACTCTGCGCCGGGAGGGGGGTGAGGGATGGAGCATTCAGTTAGGCTTGTTAGGCTCTGCCAGCCCGCAAGAGCGTTAATGAACACATGCAATGCAGAATCAGTGGTTAGTGACAGAAGAGTGAGGGGCTGGGTTAGTCACTAATTTTATCTCCAAAAGGACAGCAGCGCCTCCTGCCCCCCTTGAAGGGCAGCTCCCTTGACGAGCACAGCCTGGCTGGCGTGGGCTCCCCGCCTCCCGCAAAGGCACAAAGCCCTTGCACGCTTGGGGATAGGTCAGATGGCCCGTACCGTGAACCAGAGAAGGAAACAAAACTCCTGCTTGTTCCATTTCTTAAAGAATGAAAATGGGAAAACAGCACAAAAGGGAGAAGGCTAAGGACACCCCCAGCCCCATTTTCTCCCGACAGCACAGAGGGTCCGTCTCTAGGGAGCTGGGGCAGCGATTTACTCCAGCAAAGAGGAGCCGGGGCCTGGCTAACGGGAGGTCCTGCAGTTGACCTCTCGGTGGAAAGGAAACCTTCCAAGGTCAGACCCAGAGCCGCTGGCACCAGAGCCCCCCCTGCCCCCGGGTGAGGCCACTGCAGTGCCCAGCCTGCTGGGCAGGGGAGCCCCCCCATCCAGCTCTGCTTCCTGGCACCACCGCCCAGGGCCCACCTTTCCAGCAAGCCACCTGCAGACAAGACCTGGTCCTACGCTCGTCCTGTGGGGCAGGGCCCGGGCCAGCATTACCTGTGTTTCTAGCATGCATTAACCGCGGAGAGTTTTGTAAGGCTTTGTCAACATCATCTGAAGTCAAATGTGGAAGAGGAGCTACAAAACAAAACACAAAGCCACATCAAAATGGAAGAAAGTAAAATAAAAGGAAAGGAAAGAAAAAAGCGGAATTACCTTTCTTAGAACAAAAAAAAAAGGAAGATGAGAAACATCTCCCACCCCACCCCAAGGGGGTGGCTCCTAGACACAGCTCCACGGAGCAGGCTGGGTCGCGCCGGCCCCCACGAGTCGGAGTAGGGGTGGTGCCGGCAAAGCAGTGACCCAGTGACCCCGCAGCTTCGTCCCACGGCCTCGCCCCACGGCTCCCCCCTTCCGGGGGCAGCAGGCCGTGTCCAGGCCCTGCCCGCCAACACGCACACCCGCGTCGGGCTCGGCCGCGCCGATGCCTCGGAACCCCTCGCTCTGCGCTCAGGCTGACCATAGCGAGGGCCCCGGTTAGTGTCGGGAGGGGTGAACCCCTGGCTCCACCGGGGCGAGGCCGCACGGGGCCCTCGCTCCACGGGAGGCCGCAGAGACCCAGGGAGGGCGGGCGCAGGCTCAGCCCCGCTGGCCGCCATCCTGGGGTGTTCGCGGCTGAAGGGAGGACTAGGCAGCTGCGCGCTGAGGCGGCTCTGGCTCCTGCCCGGGGGCGGCACCGCCTTGCACCTTTGCTGAGGCGCTGCCTCCCCTTCCAGACGCGCCTCGCTGCTGCATGGGGGCGGGGGGTGGGGGGGCAGGAGACCCGACTAGCGGCCACAGGACGTGCCGGGCGGCGTCTTACTCTCTCTGAGGTAGTGGAGGTGCGAGAGAAGGATGTCCGCATTGTAGCTCGGGGTGAGCCTCTGGAAGTCGTCTTTGGTCATTTTGCACAGTTCCTTCCCATCGATGTTCTGGAACGACAGGATGTCCACGTCGGGGAGGCCATACTCCTTCACTGCCCACTCCAGCCACTGCCGGACGTGTTCTGTGCTCCACAGCGTAGGGTCTGCAACACAGAAACGCAGCGTCACCCCAGGCCGTGTCCCGGCAAAGCCCGGTTGGTCCACCCGCCAGCCAGCGCCGCTTCAGATGAGCCCTCCACAGGCCAGAAGCGCCTGCCTCCAGCCGGCTCAGGGCTGGACAGGAGGTCAGTCGGGAACCACAGCAGACCGACACCCACAGCCCACGCTCTCCATGCTGAATTCGTGGTCCTGGAGCACCCACTGAGCCCCTCCTGCTGCAGAGGGAGGCCATTGGGGGAAGGAGCTGGACAGTCCTGGGTGTTTTATTCACCAAGTGAAGATGGACACTTTGTTTCCTTAGAAAATACTGGTATGTGTGCAGGAACAAGAGTTACCAACACATGTGGGTTTGATGCTGATGAGAGTCCACTCACAAACTCAAAACTGCAGCGAGAAACACTGAAAGCACTGACCACAGAACTGGGAGTAGGCGGCCCGCACCCAGTGCCCCCCGCCCCGGGAGCTGGCCGGCTTCGGGGCTGTCAGTGGCTCGCTCTTCCTGCCGAGACCCGGCGCCCAACTCAGCACACCTGCAGCGGGGGCTGGCATGGCTCACCCACAGCCCCCTCACGCTCTGCGGCCACAGACGGGCACACCCCAAGAACGGACCAGGAGGCCGGGCCAGCGGGGGAGGAGCAGGTGACCCCAAAAGGCACGCGCCATGGAAGCAGCTGAGGCTGGTGGGGGGGGAGTGGGGGGGGGGTCTGTGCTTTGAGAAACACCTGGGCTGGCGCCAGTCGGAGCTCTAAGCCAGCGACTGCACACCTGCCGTGGGCAGGTGCTTCTCCTTCCAGCGCCCGAGTAATGTGTCCAACACAAACCTTGACCCCAGCGTTCTGGACTGGCCCCGGGGCCAAGGGTGCCTGTTGTTTTGGCCGTGGGTTGGAAAAAGTCTGGTGTGGGAAGAAACAGCCCCTGGAGTCACTTTTCAGGTACGGTTTTAGGGCCTCGCTTGGCCTCACTCGGCTGAGGCTGGGCTCCCACGGGAACATTCCCAGAAGGAAGCGGGCGAGCACTTCCGCAGAAAATACTCTGTTCACATGAAAATGAGGACTCCTTCTCTCCCTGTCTTTCTCTGTCCATTCTTCCCCAGCCTCCGTAGGCCCTCCCCCCCCTCTGGCCCCTCCCTCCCACCCCGCCATCCCCACGCAGGTTGAAACGCTCCTCAGACGCGGGTGCTCTGTGTTTAAGTCAGCGCACACCTGCCTGGCCTGCAGGCAGCGCTCAGCGCCGCCTTCAAGGTGCCTCTGGGGCCGCGCAGGGATATGCCGTCCGCCAGCAGCCCGCGGGCACCCGGCAACGCCGGCTCTACGCTCCCACACACCCGCCCTTGCACGCGGAGGAGTGGACGGGCCTTAGCCCCGGGGACACTGGCGCTGGGCCTCCCCTCGAAGGTGCTGCCTGGATTGGGCCGAAGGGCAGCCTGGGCCTGGGCATGTGCGAAGCTCCGGTGAGGAGCGCAGCCAAGGGTCAGGCCGGCCTGGACGCCACTCCCCGCAGCAGCGCCGGCCTGGCATCCCCGGCACAAGCAGGGTGGCCACGCCCCCACCTGCGTCTCCCCGGTGGCTCCTGCATCACCTGCCTGTGTGACCCAGGGAGCAGCCCGGGGCGAGGCCCTCGGGCACTGCCATCTCCCCGCATGTGGGCCGCACAGAGGCTGCTGCCTGGAGCCCCAAAAGGTCTCAGTTCTCGCTGCAAAGGACAGGGCACCCACAAAAACTCCAGACCACCGGGACAGTGACCCCAACCCGTACAGACGCGCTGGTCCCCCTAGGACGTGTCCGCGGGAGGCCATCTTCACCGGCTCGCTGGCCATGGCCAGGGGTTCGTTTCCAGGGACACCATGAATAACCCCAGACTGCTCGGAGGAGGCCACAGCTGTGCTCGGAGCGCCCCTCGTTCAGCCCTCTGCCCTAGCTCCCTGCAGGGGGCATTGGGGTGGCGGCCGCCCTTCCACTGCGCCCCTGGTCATTTCCCGGGCCCGGCACGCCCCGGGTCAGCCAGACCTGCGCTGGGCTTTGCTTTGCCTCTGACAGCACAGAGTGTTTTCTGGTGTAACTGCTCCTAGAAACCGGCTCATTCTGGAAGTGAATTTTCTTCTTCTAACGGTGGAAGCAGGTCATCTCAGAATAGTGCAGAAGCACCTGCCTGGACACCCCTGGGTTCAGGCCGTTGTGAACTGGCGCCTCCAGGGCTCAGTGTGTTACGGAGGTGGGGTGTCTCTGCCCCTCCTTGGGGTCCCTTTCTTACGTGTCTTTATTAAACTTCTCCCGAGGGTAGCAGATGTTAATCTCGCTTTCCTAAAGCAGCTCATTCATGGACATGGCTTCATTCGAAAGCAACGGAGAGGCCAGCTAGTCCTGGTCCCTGTGCGATGGGGCTCTTTGCTCCCTCCAAGCACCCACCCTGTCTGGGAAACCCCTCCCACCCCCCTACCCCC